GGTGTGATTCTTACCTGAAAAAAAAGGCAGACAGCTCAGAGAACCCCAAGGACTCCACAGTTCAACCCTGAGCTACACATATTCGCCTTCATTTGACTATCCCTGCCATCTCCAAGGGCCCTTCTGAAGAGCCTGGTCCTACTGACCCTCTGAACAACAGTTAAGGAAAGGGCCGCTGTTCCAGAGGAGGGGGGCTGACATGAAGAAGTCTTGCCCTCAGGGCCCCTGGTGTTGGCGTTCCCTAGGGATTCCCTAGTAAGGAGTAGGAACTGAATGGCAGGCAGCACAGCTCGTGAAGTGGCGATGCCACACGGGCAAACCATGTCGAGATTTTTGATTACCTGGGCTGATCCATCCCGGATGAGCTGAAGCTTCCACGGGGTCTTCAGGGCAGCTCCGTGTAGAACAAGTTGCATTGGTCTAACCTGGAGGTGAAAAGGTTTGACTGACTCTCAGCAACACCTCCCAGTCCAGGAATGTCCACAACCGGTGCATAAGATGAAGCTGTGCAAAGGCCTTCCAGTTCAAGTGGAAGCTGCGAGTCCAAGAGGGCTCTCAGTTTATGGACCACCTCTGAACAGGGAATGCAGCTGTGATTTGACTGTGACCAGGGACTGATATGAACGTCCCCCACCCTCAGATCACAGCTCAACTGCTCCAAGAGAAAAAACAGATGGGATGTGTGGGGCTGCGATCCCCTGAGGGACGTTTGTCATAGCGGTCATGAACTCACAAAGGCCCCCAGCATCATATCCCTGGGGAAGCCCAACAGCAACCCAGAAGTGAGATCCAGCTGCTCAAGGAAGAAGGGTGCTGCTGGGCGACGGGGCAGACACGGTACCCGCAGCCGTCTCTCAGCTGCTCCCTCACGCCAGCCTCGGGAATGCCGCACACCCAGGTCTCTCTTCTTGAAAAACAGTATTTATTGATCATTTTTAAAGGGAAAATAAAGCAAACAAAAGGAAAAAAGGAAAAGAGAAAACAATTGGTACAGAAATAGAATAAGTGGACAAAAGAATGACCAAGATTGCACAGTTAGTGCTCGGTATATCACTGAGGAGAAATTAACCCTGAAAAACATTTATTAAATTATCTTAACAATGTGAGTAGGAGTTTAAATCTCTGAGCTAAGTGCCAAAATCTCCACTATTTGTTGTTGTTTAAGAATACAGAAAAAGAAAAGAAAAAAATTAAAGGAGGAAAGCTACTAAAAACATTATAAATATTAGTTTCTAACTTCCCCCTTGTGGTACTCTGACTAACGTACAACATTGATAGACATTTTGGTGTGTCTCTGATTTCAGTTCTTTAGCCAGTTCTTCTTCCCCCTTAAGAACCAAACTCCGGAGACTTGTTCTGCCCTTCTTGCTTAAACTTGGTGAGAGCAGCGTTTCTCAGCCTTGGCCACTTTAAAAGGGCTGGACATCAACTCCCAGAATTCTGGGAGTTGAAGTCCAGCCCTCTTAAAGTGGCCAAGGTTGAGAAACGCTGGGTTAGAGCATCCAGGTATCTCTGCCTCTGGTCACCTGCTGGCCTCCCAGATGAAACGCAGACCTGAACTGAGATGGGCACTTCTCTAAGAAGGAACACCAGCCCCTGCCTCCCTCCCAGGTCTCGCGGATGTTAGTGAGATCTGCCCTCTCCTCCATGTTCTGACCACGGATGAGGAGGAATTGTTGGCAGGTGAGGCCAGGGGGCCCGAAGAGAAGATCAGCCCCCAGCTTCCAGCCGCCCCCTCCCTGAGAGCAGCTGGCCGCCTGCCATAGCTCCCTCTGCCCATTGGTACCATGCTCCTCCTCCTCCTCCCCCATGCAAAGGATTGTGATGAGGGGGGCTGAATGGGACAGAATTGATGGGATCCAAAGCTGCCCACTTCCTCCTCGGTGCGCATCATATCCGGGCCTCCGAGCATCGCAATAGACTGTAAAACATCCTTGTTTGTGTGTTGAACAACATTGGGCGATCCCTCCCCCAAAGGCTGTTCCCCTCAGCCTCATTCAGACAGTAACACAACAGCCAACAGAGTAAAGCGTACACTAGTCTTCTCCCAGGGATGATGGGAGTTGTAGTCCAATATCTCTGGAGGGCATTTTGGTATGGGAGCGAAAGTTCCCCACTATCCTGCTCCCTTCACTACAGATGCGGACGATGAAGAACCCTTTTTTCTTTCTTTTCCTATTTTTAGACATTTTCAATAAAGTGCAGAAGCAGAAGCAGAAAAGCCCCCTGGACAACAAAATCTCGCTCTCTACCCAAAGTCCCAGCGCGGCATCAACTTCTCCAGCTGTTGAAGAGAAACGAGCCTGCTGCTTGAACCTCTGAGCGGGCTAGAGGGGTGGGAGTCAGCGGCGGGGCTCATGCACTGCCTTAAGCCAAGAGTACATTTTAATCCTGGATTGCCGAACGAGCCAGTGGCTGGGTTCACATTAAGCCAAAATTAAGCCATGATATTGCAGCTTAGCCATAGATGGACTTTGGAACTTCTTGTTCTGGCTTGCCTACCTCAACTTTGGGAATTTGGTCTTGTGTTGGAGCCACACAGGAATTTGTTCCAAAGCTGCTGCTAGATTGGATCCAGATTCACTCATGCTTAGAACACTCATTGAAGCCCACAGGCCAATTCCAAGGACAGATGTCCAGCTGTACGTGTGAAACTGATAGCTTGTTCCTCCCTCCCACTGATGCTTCCCCATCTTGCCTTCCAGCCCCTAAAGCCAACCAGGGCTGCGACTCAGAACCCATCAGCATGGGCAGCCCTGCCTGGGGAAGGCGCCTCTTGCTCCCCGGCAGCTCCTTCTCGCACAGGAGTCTGGCAGAACTTGGGCTAGGACGGGAACTGATGGCAGGAGGCTTCCCATCTGATCTTAACCATGATTACTCAAAGATAAGCCTACCTGAAGTCAGTGACTTTTCTTCATGGTGACTATGGGTTGATCCTCATGACCGCCTTGTCCCGTGCAGATACAGCCACTGACAGCTGCTCAAGGACAGGGAAGCAGAGTTTCGTCCTCTTCCAGCCCCCAGCCCACCAAGAAGGTAACCTCCGTTCGTCTTCCTGATGGTGGTTAAGAGTGCTTTCTGACCTGGGCTGGTGCAAGTGGTGGTGTCCAGTCGCCCTGCTGAGCTCCGCTCATTGCAGGCAAGCCCCCCCTCTGCTTGCTTGGCTACTTGGCGCTGCAGCAGAAACACCCCTCCCCGCTGGTCCTGTGCTCTCTGCTGCCCTTTCCTTCTCATCAGTGAAAAGCAGAGGCTTTGTTTTTTAACCAGATGAAATTGGCAAGAGTTCTGCTAGTTCTCCTTTAGCCTAAGTGGCAGAAAGATGATTAAAGGTGGTTTTCTCTTTTAACTGGTCCAGGAGTAAAAGGGAGTCCGCCATGGGAAGGGTGGTCCAGACACAACACCAGGCCAGCACCGTGGCCACCACAGAGAAAGGGGTTGAAATCTGGAAAGGGTTGCACTGCAGAGAAGTCCTCTGGGTTCAAGGTGCATGTCAAATCTGCTATTCCAAAAGACAGACTAAGTTTTTATTCCTCCAAGGAGTTCAAGGTTGGTGGCCTGGAAGGAGAACCTGTAACTCTGGCATCTGGGCAGCAGGTGGCCTGGACAAAAGTTCATTTATGAAGCTGCATTCCTAGGAGGTGGTGAGGGCTGGTTGATGCGAAGCCATCAAAGAACAGGAACTGGCAAAAGAGAATCTTTGTGGCCAAGTTAACACATAAGCCCTGGATCATTTTAACCATAGCTGATTGACCATGACACACACAAACCATAGGCCATAAACCATGAGTGGTCAGATTTACACAAGACACCAAGCTACTGACCATGGGTTACAAACTATAATAATTGAGTTGAAGGGAAATGCAAAACAATATTTTAATTGTTAGCCACTCTGAGTCATGTATATGAGATGGGCGGCTGTGTAAATGTATTAAATTAATAAATAGGACTCAAAACATGCAGGTTATGTTCTAGCTTAGGACAGTGCGTGGGCCCAGCTACTGGCTTAGAGAAACACCATTTGTGGCTTAGTGCACAGCGCAGATGCACCAAATTGTGGTTGGTTTTCATCACAACTGGTTGAGTGAATTGTGCCTTATGTGGGGGGGGGGTGTATAGAAGTTGGATATCGGTGATCCTTTTGTTGTGGGGAGGGAGAACAACGGGAGCTCGTTCCTTGTGCAATCTTTTTTTACGGTGAGGGATGTGTTCTCTCGGGAATAATCGGTCGGGCAGGGCAGGGCCGGGGCGGATGGCCGAAGCCGTGGGAAGAGCAGCACCTCTTCTATGACCTCCCCTTTAGTTTTGCTCTCTCCCCGCTTTGTTCCTTGGTTAGCGGGCTGCAACTAGACCAATCACCTTTGTCAGAAGCCTGAACTGCTTGCTTGCAGAGAAATCAACCTGAAAGCCGTGGGTCGTCCTCCCCTGCCTAGACGTTTCCTAGATGGTTACTTGGGAACCAGGGAGGGGCTGGTCTCGGTAGGCGGTTCTGGGAGTTCTGACTGGCAGTGATTTCTTTTCCCTGTTTCCATAACTTGGGGGTTTTTTTAAATGCTTCCACCCAGAAGACAGAAATATGGCTTTGTGGGGTGGAAGTCTCTCATACTGCGTGTGTACATTTATAAATATGTACATATGAACATATTTGTAAATAAATTGCTCTGGATGTTTGGGTGTATATGTTTATCACATGGCTTAATATGATGGTACTCTTTGGAAAAAAACATTGTGTGTCTTGGAAAAGAGCACACTGCAAAGTGAAGGGAATTGGGAGGGGTATGCCAGGGATCTTGGATTCACCCCAACAAGAGGAGGAGGAGGAGGAGATGGGATTCTCCCAGACAGGCCTTTCAGGTCACCAAATCCATCCCTGGGGGCCAGGCCAGTTTAAAGGAGGACTTCATGGTCTCATTCTGCTCCATGCAGGAGGACATGGGGAGGAGGCTGTGGGACATCAAGCCAGCATCATTCACTCTCCACCTTACCCCCCACCCCAAATAGAAGAACAAAATGTAGACTGTCAGCCTGGGGGGAGAGAATCCTTCCCCATGGCCAAAGTCTCCCCATTCTAGATATGAAGCCTCGAGCTTGTGTGGCAAATTTCTGAGCCGAAGGGGCAGGTCCCTCTGCCCTTCGGGATTCACCATCCTGTCTCCTGCTCCACAGCGTCTCTTCCTGTTCTTTGAAGGTTCAGAAGGTGTTTCTTCTGGGACGGTCTGAGTTCCAGCAATGCAAAATAGGTTCTAGTGGTCAGTCCTGTCCACTGAGTCGGCTGCTCTTTGTCTGATCCTCTCCCTATGGGAAGTAAGTTTCTTGTCAGCTCCTATTACAGCAATGCCTTTCTTGACTGCGAGTTCCCCCTCCTCTCACATTAGCTGAAGGTACTCAATGCTCCGCTCTTTTGACTTTTTCTGCAAGGATCCCTATAAGCGCGCTCTGGCCACATCTCTATGCCAGATTGGGCTCCTGCCTGAGAACGTGCCAGAAACACTGCAGGTGACAACCAGGAGTCAGCATGGGTGTGTCCAGAAGAAATCATGCCACTCGTCTTACCTCAGATCAGAGAACTTCCTTAGTACATTGTGGGAAGGCTGTGACCTACATGGACTGCGACAAGGCATTTGACAAAGTGCCCCATGACAGTTTAATTAGCAGGCTACTTAAGTATAAGCTGCATGACACTGTCGTCTGTTGGATTTCAAACTGACACAGCTTGGAGTCTTAGAACTGGTTTACTCTGCATACGGTTATTACTTGGTAGGTAACCAGTTCTTAAGCAGCCTGTTTTCAGCAGCTGCATCACGCGGCCGGTCGAGAGAGCAGGGCCTCACCCAGCATCCCTAAAATCACTCAAGAGAAAAACCAGACTCCCAGCTCCTCAGGGCTGCTGAGGCAGTGCTCCCGTGAACGGAAGGAATACTAAACTGTCGAGGGCTGACGTGTAGTCCCTCCGAAGTTTCAGCGCTTCAAAGCACTGGTTAACCAGGAATCTATCATCTCGCAGCAAGACCCGTTGACTGCCATTAACGCAGCCAAGCACTCCCCAAGGATGGGCCAAACTCTGCCCTAAGAGGAACAGGTGGAGTTTTGGGTGAAGTATCAATAACTGTTTTTAAGAATTGGTTCTGTGTAACTTTCAGAGCTAGGGTAAAATGGTAAAAATGATTATTCCAGCTCCAAACAGCTGTGCTTCACTAATCCAGATTTAAGTACACGTTAAATGTATTATTAAAGGGTTAGGCAAATTCACAGACATGGTGATTGGTCTGTCCTGGTTGACCATCACAGAATGTAGCACTTCTGTCGGCAAGGGCTTTTTACCTGCGATTACCAGGAGTGGGAAATAAATAACAGGCAATGTTTGCTGTCAGCGAATCTGGGTGATGACCTTTCCAAGAACATCTGGTGGGATGGAGTTGGAAGTCTTTGGGCTAATCCAGGAAAAGAGACCCCAGGCTGGGGGCTGAGTAGCTCTCTCTCCAAGCCGACAGAAGCAGCCCTTCAGCCATGGTGGTCTCTGAGCCCAGGACTGGGCTCTGAGTTGACTCACCCGTGCTTGGAAAGGAAACAACAGCTGCACACCCCGGTTAGTTTGCCAGGGTGGTGTTAGTTCAGAAGTATGCAAACGGGCAGGAGCCAACCACGCTTCCCCACCCTTGTTTTCTTCCCTTTTCGCGGAGGGAGGCTGGCCCTTTAAAGAGCGGGCGGGAGCGCCCGGGCGTCCCCTCCTACCTACCTGGCCAGGTGAGCACCTGGGTCGCCAGTCTGCGCTGAATAAAATCGCAGGTGCGAGGCGGGCCGGGCCAATCGCAGCCGAGGGCGAGGGCATCAGCCAGCCAGCCAGCCAGCGGCAGCCGGAAAGGCCTCCCTGCGGCCGCCCCACCTGAAGCCGGTGCAAGGCAGGAAATTGCCGGGCGGTGAGATCACGCAGCAGAGGCGCGCAGGTGTCGCCAGCCGGCTCCCGCGGGAGGGCCCAGAAGTCTCGGCGCGATGCGGGGCCA